CATCATTAAAAACAGTCTAAAACAACGAGAACAGTAAAACTCATTTTAAAACATTCAGCCTTAAGGATCCAAGCATTAAAAAAAGAAAATAACAGCAAAAAACTAGATTAAGAAAGGACCAATATATATACAGAGTGGAGGTGGAAGTTTCTCTGAGTCTAAGTATCCAGCGTTGAGCAAAACTACGTGATTCTGAATGTAGCCCAAATATGACTTATCTAGCACTAACATATTTTCTTTCTTTCTTTTTCTTCCTTCCCCTCTTCACTCTCGTAGAACCAAAAAAATCTCAAAACGAGCCACGATGCCCTGATCGCCAAGGGGGAAGAACTGAATTTGCAACTGAAAGGAGAACGTTCAAAGTGCCTCCATCTAGAGAGGGAGTTACAGGCTGCCACATTTTCGAGACGACGATTGGAAGAGGTGAAATACCCCCCTACCCCCCAAAAAAAATTGTGTGTGGGGGGGTATTTAAAAGAGGCACAGATTTTTCCCAGCGTTCTCAAGCAGAGCAGGACCAAAAAAAAAAATGCTTAGTGGAAGGGACCAAGCCGTTAGAGTCGATCTTGATCATTTGAAAAATCTGGTTTCGTTTAGCTTATCGCTAGCAGGAATCTGCCAAATGTGTGTTGGCAGAAGTATGGTATCTACCCTCCAATATTCTCATAACTCGTTCGCACTGCATATTTTCCACGCTATGTCGATTGTTCCCACCCAACTATTATTGCACCGCAATAGGATTCACATGAATCGGAGTGATCTGAAGGGAGCAATCGTTCCCTGAACCTCACTGCAAAAATCCTGCCTCCAAGTAATATATTAATATTCATTCCAAGAGGTCAGCCATTTCAGGACAGTGTTCCTCCTTTCCCAGGATGACTACGAAAGCTTTACATAATGGGTCAAAAGTCTTGTTGGACTTCTACTCATAAAGGAAGTAGAATCCTTAAGAGACAGGTGAGTTCTAGTCCTGTTTTAGGCATGAAAGCCAGCTGGGTGACTTTGGGCCAGTAACTAGGAGGCTGTGAGTTCTAGTGTCATCTTAAGGAATGAAAGCTGGCTAGGGGACTTTGGCCTAATCACCAGGAGACTGTGAGTTCTAGTCCTGCTTTAGGCATAAAAACTGGCTGAGGGACTTTGAGCCAAATACCAGGAGATGGGGAATTCTAGTCCTGCCTTAGGCATAAAAGCCGGATGGGTGACTTTGGGCCAGTCACTAGGAGGTTGTGAGTTCTAGTCTTGCCCTAAGGAATGGCCAGATGACTTTGGGCCAATCATTAAGAGACAGTGAGTTCTAGTCCTGCCTTAGGCATGAAAGCTGCCTGGGTGACTTTGGGCCAATCATTCACTCTCATCTCAACTCATCTCACAGGATTATTGTTGTAGGGAAAATAGGAGGAGCAAGGAGTATTAGGTATATTTTGATGCCTGCCATTATGTATTAAAAAAATATTAAAGGCCAGGTAGTATAAATAAATAAAATCAAACCTGCCAGTGCGTTCATCTCACCCCAAAGAAATAAGGCACACATTCGTCAGTGAAACATATTTTTGACAGAGATACCATTGTAACCTGTCTTGTCCTCTGGCGATATCAGAGCAGCTAAGGTGATACAAAGGATCATCAGTCCCTCATTGGCAAGAGAAAGCAGGTGGCCCAGATACCTAGCCAGGAAACCTTTTGAACGTTAGTAATTGTTGCTTTCATCACCTTACACAATGGATTCCCTGCTAACATTCTTTTTCATTCCAGCTGCAAGACAGAATTAATGATTTGGAAAAAGAGAGGGACCTTTTAAAGGAAAACTATGATAAATTATATAACAGGTAAACTATAACAAATGGAGTAATTTCTTTTAAACTCTGATATATTTTTTAAAAAATGTTCTTGGTGAAAATAATCTGACTCAGAAATACGGATATGTAATCTTGAACTCAATGACCTGGATAGGCAGGAGCGGATGAAGTTGTTAACACCTTAGAACGGTGATTTCAAGAATCTTGTCCATCTTTGCTTTCTCATTAATATTATTTGTGGAGCATTGTAGAGTGACTAAGCTGTTCCTGCATTTGGAGAACTTCTTTTGGGTCCCGTTATGGTCCTTAGGAACCGCTGACCATGTTCTTCACTACATCAGTCTTTTAACTTTTACATGATTGAATCCTGATCTAGGGCCACTTGCCCAGCCAGCAGTCTCCTCTTTCTCTCTCTCTCTCTCTCTCCTCTCCTCTCCTCTCTCCTCTCTCTCTTTCTTTCTCTCCCCCTCTCTCTTTCTCTATCCTTTCTCTCTTTCTCTCCC